ATACAGGACATCCTCCAGGGTCCCCCATAGATAAAAAGTCTGCAGGTGTTAAATCAGGAGAATATGCAAGATAATTTGGACACTTGAACACTTTGACCAAGTCAAATCTCATGATGTCTCAAGTAATTTAGTAGTAAAATATTTATACAATTTTTCTTTTCCTGAAATGTGTATACATTTTTGGCAGACTCTCTAGTATTATAAGCAACTTAAATATGAGGCATGACAACAAATATTTTTAATTTGCACTTTTTTTGTACATAAGGGAGGTGGTGGGGGGAGAAAAGAAGAAGCAAGATATATCATGTACAAGTACAAATTCCCTATGATGAATGTTATCCTTATGTATATCTAAAATGTACCAATAAATGTTTTGCTAAAAAAAATTTGCAGTTAATTATACTAGCAATCCATTCATCCTTAGTACTGTATGCTATGAAACTTTGTCAAATACTTCTACAAAGCCATTAAAACTGACTTTTCCACCCTAGTTCAATCCCCGGTACCAAAAAACAAAACAAAACTGACTTTTCCAACAGATGTGTAGCAATGCCTCTGCCAGTGTGTTTTGCCTGAACAAAGAAAAAAAGTCAAACAAAAAAGTTGCAAAATTTTTTCCCTAAGGGACCAAAACTAGAGAGAAATAATTCAGAGTTTCACCCCTGAGTGCAAAACCAAGCACAACGTCCACGTCTAAAATAGCTTTAAAATCAACTGCAAAGTTGGTCATCAATATTTCTAGGGGACTGGGATTATTTCCCTAATTACAAGTTGGCCGTGCAGGGATCCATTTACTCATTTCCTGGATGCAAGAGCCAGCAGCAGGATCACCAGAGGATTTGCTGCACTTTCCCAGCTCCAAGTCCCATAGGGGCCTGCAGAGTGGGCCAGGAGCATAGGCTGTACACACAGCGGGTGGCATTGCTTCACAGACTGGAATTCTGGCCTTGGGGAGTTCACAACTGTTTTTAGCAAGCCTGATCTTTGGCTCGAAGGGAGATAATGTCTGATCTTTGTCTCTAAAGGAGATAACTCGTCAACCCTCAAGGCAGTTCCTTCTAGAGCAGGCCTGAGAAATGGCCCAGGTGAAAAGCATCTGGGCTTCCCACACACCCAACAAGAGCAAGCAGTGAGGCTTCAAGCCACACAAAAAAATTCCATCTCCCAAAAATATTACACCCAGAGAGAAAACACCATCTCCCCTTCCATATGAAGTGAGCAACAAGTTGTACTGCCTAAAGTTTTTTTCCCAGGAATATTTCTTTTCACCACTGTCTTTTATGGGTTAGAATGCAGCCTGCTTCTAAAAGTAGGTTGCCAACTAAACGTTACTGGGTTCTGATTTGCTCTCCTCTCTCTTGGAGTAAGATTCTAGGTCCTTCTCGTCTCCAACAAAGAACTGGTCAAAGCAAGTAAAAAAAGTGACAGTTTATTCGAGAAAGTAAAAGTGAAGGGGGGGACTGGCTCTGCAGAAGGAGCTCCCTCCGAGTAAAGAAAAAAAGGTAAAAATACACACTGCATCTGACAAAAGTCACCATAGCAAGCTCTTCATGGCACCCATGTGTCCTTTATGTTGTCCAAATCTTGAGGAAACTCGAGGGAACTTCTACATATGGGTGCTGAGAGGCGGTGCTGGGACCCACATCTCAGGCTGACCATCCTCAGGTCTAGGCTGTCCTATTGAAAACCTGCTTGAGTTCTGGATCTTGTAATTAACAGGTCAAGCCTACTTCTTCCCTAGCCCAGTTTTGCTACATTCTAATCTCCTATCTCACAGCTAACATGCACTTTTGGGTTTTTTTGGGGGGGGGTACTGGGGATCAAACTCGGGACCTTGTGCTTGCAAGGCAGGCAGCAGAATCACTGAGCTAAATCCCCGACTCTTTTGTTTTATTTTGAGACAGGGTCTCTCTATGTATTCCAGCTGGCCTTGAACTTGCTGCAATCCTCCTGCCTCAGCCTACCAAGTGCTGAGATTACAGGCAGGAGCCACCATACCTGGCTCCCCTCCTCTCTTCCGGGTCTCTGGCCCACCCACATTTCCCATTGAGTGGAGCCTCCCAGAAGCTGGAGTCAAGGAAACCTGTTGACACGGAGCCTTCCTGGGGCACAGAGCTGTGAAGAAAGGTAGAGTGAGGCTAGAAGGGCTAATGGAAGACATCAGGCACAACCCATAAATGGCACTGATGTCATCAGTGCGATTTCCTAAAACATTAAGCCATTTTTGGTAAAAGTTCCAAACAAAACAACATGTGCTCCTTTCAATTTACATAGGAGTTCCATTCCCAGAAATTTCCATGTATATTAAAACCACGCAGGGACGGGGATTTAGCTCAGTGGTTCGCTGACACCTGCCTTGCAAGCACAAGGTCCCAAGTTTGATCCCCAGTACGAAAAAACACCCAAACATGCAAAAGTACCTTGAGTTATGCTTGCTTCAGCAACAATACTGGAATTATTCAAAGAAAATAAGTGTGGGTCCCACAGTAAAATGGCATACAAATTTGTGAAAGCACTCTCCATTTCAAGATAACTTTTATTTTTTTAAAAAGAGAACTTTAAGTTACATGTTAAACAAGGTTAAGTTTAGGCTCAGATCATTACAAATAGGTTTTCCTTGTGGGAATGTCACATGCATCGAAGGACACAGGACATTCTTGGCTCCTGCCCACTAAATGCCAGGAGAGCCCTGCCAGGAGATTCCTGTCAGTCACTGTAATGACAAAAGGAATACCCAGGTTTTCAAAGCACACCGAGGTAAAACATTCACATTCATAGAATTGGAGTCTGATACTTTGCCCACTTATTGTTTAGAGCAGACCAGAGCAGGAGAATGATGCCGGAGAGGAGGGGCCAGGGACCAGTATAATATCCACAGTCACACCTCCAGGACCCACCCAGACACACCCACAAATGTGCTTTACTCATCTACTGGGTGTCTCTTCATGCAGTCAAACTGATGTTTAAAATTAACTGGCATGCCCCCATTTCTGTCACTTGATATTAAACTATACTAGGTTTTTCTGTTTAACTTACATATTTTAAGTAATTTATTCAAGTTACATGAAGTTTAAAAATGCAGATGCAAAAATTAAAAAGTAAAAACACACTTTATGGTAGATAAGCATCTCTACAACCTAATCCTTGGAACTTTTACATGACAAAAGGGACTCTGAAGATGTGGCTAAATTAAGGATCTTGAGGCAGGTTGTAGCGGCACACACTTGTAATCCCAGCATTCAGGGGGCTGAGGCAGGAGGATCATCAGGAGTTTGAGGCCAGCCTGGGCTATATACTGCGTTCAAGGACAGCCTAAACTACATAGTGAGAAAACAGCAACAAAAGCAAAAAAACAACAACACACAAAAACAACAACAAAATTTACATCAAAACAAAAGGAACTTGGGCTGGGATGTAGCTCAGTGGTACTGCGCCTGCCTGGCAAGCGCAAGGTCCTGAGTTCGATTCCTGGTACTGGAAAAAGAAAAGGAACCTAAATAGTAAGATGATGTATGTAATCTTTTTTTTGGTACTGGGGATCAAACTCAGGATCTTGAGCTTGCTAGGCAGGCAAAGTGCCACTGAGCTACATCCCAGCCCATATATGTGATCTTTGAATAGATCCTGGTTTGAACCAAGTAAGTGTGTGAAGAACATTTTGGTAACAGTGTAGGTACAGTACTGATCAAATGGATAGGTGAAGTTTCTTTTTTTTTTTTTTCTTTTTTAGGTACTGGGGATCGAACTCAGGTCCTTGCGCTTGCACAGCAGGCAGCGAAACCATTGAGCTAAATCCCCGGCCCCATGGTGAAGTTTCTTAACTGAAAAACACAGGTGGTGCTGGGCATGGTGGTGCACGCCTGTGATCCCAGCTATTTTGGAGGCTGAAGCAGGAGGATTGCAAGTTCAAGGCCAGCCCAGGCAATTTAGCGAGACTCTGTCTCAAAATTACAAAATAAAAAGAGCTGAGTGTAGATCAGTGGTAGAATACCCCTGGATTCAATCCCCAACCCCCAGTACTGCCTCCCCCCAAAGAAGGCTGTAAGATAGTATGTAAATTGTGGTCCATTTTTGCAAAAAGTACATACACGTAATAGGAAGCCATCTGGAAGTACAGACACTAGGGTGTTATCACGGGTGAATCTGGGGGCAGACTGGGAATGTGTATTAATGTCCTATTGCTCTTGTAACAAATTACCACAAATGTAGTGGCTTCAAACAGCACAAATTTATCTCTCACAGTTCTGGTAGTCAGAAATCTGGTGAGACTGAAATCAACGTCTCAGCAGGGCTGGGTCCTTCTGGGGGTTACAATCGAGGCCCTTCAATTGCCCAGGCTGGGCTCAATGTGATCCTCATGCCTCAGCCTCCCAGAGTGCTGGGATTACAGGGGTGTACCAGCCATAAATTCTATTTTAATGTGTTGCCACCATTAGCATGTATAATGCTCTAAATGTTATGACAACGACCAGGGGAACAGGACTCCGTTTGATCGAGGCGAACTTCATTGACTTCTGGCACAATCCAATATCCCTCCCTGCCCCAGATCTGGAATAAACCTTTCATTTATTCAAAGAGCCTAGCTGCCATCGCGTGGGAAATGTTTTTAGGGACCACAAACTGAGCAGCAGTGACGTTCATTATTATGGGCTGACATTGCTTTTAGAGCATTTCAGTGGGCAGAGCTAGAAAATGTACACAGGCTTGCCCTCCCTCGGGTGATCCCTGGGATCCCGGCCTCTGGGTGTTTATGGCCCCGTGAGAGCCCCTCTTGAAAGTGCGAGGAACTGTGACCTGTTTCTGATCAGCAGTGTCCAGCACAGGTGACAGGACGTCCCTGATTACAGATACACTACGTGCTCGCAGTCCTTGCAGAACGATTACGTCACGCCCGCCATGCTGTAGCGGGAAAAGCCGCCCCCTTGCGCTTTACAGCTCTGACGCGCATGCGGACTAGGCCACGGGGCCAGGCGTCCCCTTGCGCTTTTTTACATCTGTGATGCGCATGCGGACAAAACCAAGGGGCCAGGCGCCCCTTCGCGCTTTACAGCTGTGATGCGCATGCGGACAAAACCAAGGGGCCAGGCGCCCCTTCGCGCTTTACAGCTGTGATGCGCATGCGGACAGGGCCACGGGGCCAGGCTCCCCCTTGCGCTTTGCAGCTGTGATGCGCATGTGGAGACGGGCACAGAGCCAGGCGCTGCAGGAGCTAAAGGTACCGACAGCCGCCAGTCTCAGAGGCGGATGCGGCTGCGGCTCGAGTCGACGTACGTGTGTGTGTGTGTGTGTGTGTGTGTGTGTGTGTGTGTGTGTGCGCTGAGGATTGAACCCAGGGCCTCCCACATGCTAAGCACAAGCTACACCCTGTTTCTGCCCAAGATGGGGGGTGGGCCACTGGAAACACAATAATTGAAGCAGAGCATCTAGCTAGACCATGCGTATACTCCTGACCCACAGAAAGTGTAATATGTCTTGTTTTTAGCCAGGGTGGTGGCACACGCTTGTAATCCCAGCTGAGGCAGGAGGAGCCCACAAATTTGAGGCCGCTGGGCTGCATAGTGAGTACAAGGCCAGCCTGAACTACATAGCAAGACCCTGTCTCAAAAAAATAAAACCAAAAAATGTGTCATGTTTTAAACCTCTAACTGATGTTATGTAACTACAGATAACTTACACAATTCTTAATCATGGGCTTATAAAAACATTTTCAACTCCATTTAATATGTGTTGGAGCTGGATGTGGCGGCACACATTTGTAAGCCGAGTACTCAGGAGGCCGAGGGAAGAGGCATGAGTTCAGGCCAGGTAGTGAGTTCAAGACTAGCCTAAGCTAGGCGCGGGATTTAGCTCAGTGTTTCTGCCGCCTGCTCTGCAAGTGCAAGAACCGGAGTTTGATCCCCGATACAAAAGAAAAAAAAGACTAGCCTAAACTACATAGCAAGACCCTGTCTCAAAACAACCCCCCCAAAAAACCAGTCTATTTTTCCTGTATTTAATAAACATGTGAAATAGAAATTCAGAGTTCATACACAAGTGTTAAAATATAAACTTACTTGTGTATGAACTCTGAATTGCTCTTTTTCCCCTGCAGAGTACTGCTCAAAATTTTGATGTTTTTAAATGTTCACTTGAAATGATGCTATTTAATATTGATAAAAGAAAAATTACTCAGATTCATTTTGAATATTCTTTTCTTTAAAGTACATCACTTAACACAAGATGTTATAGAACAAATAAATCAGCTTGACAAAATAATGTTTTCCAAAAGTAACATTTCCAGTAACAATTTCTCTATTGAATGAGACTTGATGATAAATATTGTGAAATATCTCGCCCTATAATGTCTCATATGGAAAGTAACTGAGCTGGGCTTTCTAAAAACTTGAGGAACAGAGGATAAATTCTCCTGAACAAATATATCAGAACCACTGTTAAGAGATGAACTGAGCCGGGCGTGATGATGCACCCTTGTAATCCCAGTACTCTGCAGGGCTGAGGCCGGAGGATCAGGTGTTTGAGTTCAGCTTGGATGATTTAGCAACTTAGCGAGACCTTGTCTCAAAATAAAATAAGAAAAGGACTGGGAATGTAGCTCAGTGTGAAAGCTCTGGGTTCAATCCCCAGTCCTGCAAGGAAAAAGAGAGATAGAGAGACAGAGAGAGAGACAGAAACAGATAAAAACTTAAGTCAAAGATTTAAAGGCTGTGTGTGTGCACACGCATGTGCAAGTGTGTGGCTTTTTGAGACATGATCTATGTAGTCCAGGTTAGCCTCAGACTTTCTACATGCCCCAGGCTGGCCTCCAACTCACAGTCCTTCTGCCTCCGCCGCCCGGGTGCAGGGCTCACAGGTGCGAGCCTCGCCCGGCAGTCTGACTTTTCTAGCACAGCTTCACATGTTCCCTAAGACTCAGTTCCAGCCATGTCAGGAAACTGTTTTCTCTGGACTTGTATTGCCTTGGGGAGGTTGAGGAAGCCTTGAGGGGAGGGTTTGGATTTTATTGAACTCTATCTCTAGGCCTAGTATGGAGCCTGGAGTGTTAGCTCAATTAATTTTAAATAAATGAGTGGCTAATTGGGGCGGGGGGTGCATAGGTCCACAGGATCCAATGTGATGGTGTGTCTTTCAGTTATGGTGAATATATTTAATTTTTTTTAAAAAAATAAGAAATGCAAAGCAAGGCAACAGTGAAGAAAGCCAAAATCTCCATAAAAACTGCAGATTTCCGAAAGTCAGAATGGAAAAAAAAATAGGTACTGGTAGAACATAAGCCCAGAAATGAGGATCATGTGGACTGTAGTTTACAACCTGTACATTTTAAAATTTCAAAATCCATGTCATTTTGTCAGTAATCCCAGCTACTTGGGAGGCCAAGGCAGGAGGATTGTGAGTTTGACGCTAACCTGGGCAATATAAAAAGACCCTGTCTCAAAACAAAACAAAACAGAAGAAAAATGATTAGTCTGGCTTTGGAAATCCTGAGAAACGAGATCTGCAGTCCAGATTTCACAACCCATCAATCTCCAGCCCTGAAACAGTCTCAGTTGCAGGAGATGGTGTCTGCAAGTGGTGGGCGTAATAGGAATGATACTGCCCTCTAGGGGACATTTGGAGTTTAGGAGTCTTTTTTTTTTTTGTCTTTTTATTTTTCTTTTCTGCACTGGGAATTGAACCCAGGGCCTCTTGCGTGCTAAGCAAGTGCTTGACTACTGAGCAACACGCCCTGCCCTTTTTTCATTTTTTCACTTTGAGACAGGGTCTCGCTAAACTTTACAGGCTGGCGTCAAATTTTCAATCCTCCTGCCTCAGCCTCCCAAGCAGCTGGGATTACGGGCGTGCACCACCATGTCTGGCTTTGTAGGTACTATTATTTTGACACAGTGGAGTAAAACTTGGAGACATCAGTGATAAAGAGAATCCTAAAAGCCACAAGAGCATCACAACTAAGAAATGAAAATAGATCATTAGCAGCCACTAACTGATGCCGGGAGATACTGGAATAATATTTTCAAAGAGAAAAGGGGAAATTATTAGCAACCTAGGATTTTATAACTAGGTAAATCTCTTTCTAAAGGCAAAATAGAGACATTTACAGACATACAGAGAAGTGAAGTTTACCGCTCATATATTCACTAAAAGAAATACTACAGTTGTGCTGATTTCTGGTTCCAGACAAGATAGGGTAAGCCTGTATAGTCTGTGTCTCTTACCTTTTTTTTGTTTTGCTTTGTTTTGTTTTTTTGAGACAGAATTTTGCTATGTAGTCCAGGCTGGCCTTGAGCTCTCAGCGATCCTCCTGCCTCAACCTCCTGAGTTACTGGGGTTACAGGCGTTCCCCACCATGCCCAGCTATGTCTCCTGCTTACAACGACTGAAATGTCTAGAGAAACACAAAGAACTGAGAACTCTGAAAAGCCAGCAAGAGCAGGTCGATTGAGAAGAGAAGCAAAACTTGAAGTGGCTCCTATAGGGTAAGTTACCCACACCCCCCTGCTTTCTCTTCCACTCTTGATCAGAGCCATGTAGACAGTGCAAGGAGAAAAACTTGAGGAATCCCATCTTTCCAGTGGAGAACTCAGAAAGTGGACCCCTGAAAGCGGAAGAGTGTGGGGGAGTCACCAAGAGAAGGGACCCCTTTAATTGTGAGTGTAACTCAGCACGAACCTGGGCTCACCTCTAAGCCAGGTGCACATGGGTCACATTCAAAGAAACACACCCCAGGCTTTGAAAACTGAATGATGATCTAAAATGCTACTCAAAGCTGGGTGCGGTGGTGCATGCCTCTAATCCCTGGGGAGACCAAGGCAGGAGGCCCTGGGGAGGCTGAGGCAGGAGGATGGCAAGTTCAAACCCAGCCTGGGCAGTTTAGTGAGATCTGGTTTCAAATAAAAATAAAAAGGGCTGGGGATGGAGCTCAGGGTGAAGGCCCTGAGTTCTTTCCCCAATAATGCAAAAATAATAAATAAACACCCTTCAAACTAATGCCTGAGTAGGCCACATGTGAAATAAATCCACAGCAGCAGAGCAAAGCTTTGAAAACTGAGCTGAATCGGAAGAAGCACATCCAACTGAGAGAGAATGTACAGTGTGAGCCTAGCCAGGTTGATTGCCTGACTTTTAAAAAATCACACTCACCAGAGGACTTTAGTAGGACCCAGAGGGCCTGGGGACTTAGCTCAGTGGCACTGCATCTGCCTGGCAAGCACAAGGTCCTGAGTTCAATTCCCAGTACCAAAAAAAAAAAAAAGTAGGACCCAGAGACTCACAACAGAGTATTCCACATGTCCAGTATGCAATTCAGAATTACTCAGCATGCAAAAGAACCAAGAAAATGTCACTAATTCTCAAGGGCAGCTAACTCTCATCTTGGATATCCAATCCAAGATAACGCAGATGTTAAAATTAACAGACTTTAAGCAGTTATTACCATTATGCTGTATGAGGTAAAGGAAAACAGCCTTTAAATAAATTAAAACATAGTTCTCAGCAGAGTAAAAAGAAATTATAGAAATAACTAAATGGAAATTTTAGAGGATAAAAATACAGCATGTTAGGGGAGTGTACGGTATTATAATGCAAGGTACATGTCATTATGCATCTGTCCAAAGCAACACCAAGATTGAACCCATATGTTCTTTTTTGGTATTTTTTTTTGGTACCGGGGATCCAACTCGGATCCTTTCGCTTGCGGGGCAGGCGGTGGAACCACTGAGCTAAATCCCAGCCCATCTTTTTTGGTTTTTTGAGACAAGGTCTCACTATGTAGCCCAGGCTGGCCTGGAACTCACTGTGGTATCGTGCCTCAGCCTCCTATGTGCTGGGATCATGGCCATGTACCACTGCGCCCCGCCTAATGTAAACTGACTTTGCTTACTTATGGCTGTCAATGTAGGCTCACCAGTTATAACAAATGTACTGCTCCGGTGAGGGGTGTGATAAAGGGGATAAAGGGGGAAGGGCTCCCGGTCTTTTTTTTTTTTTTTTTTTGGTACCGTGGATCAAACCTGGGACCTTGCCCTTGCAAGGTAGGAGGCAGAACCACTGAGCTAAATCCCTGGCTGGGCCCTTTATTTTTCATTTTATTTGAAGTCAGAGTCTCACTAAGTTGCCCAGGCTGGGCTCAAACTTGCGCTCCACCTGCTTCAGCCTCCTGAGCAGCTGGGATTACAGGTGTGCCTCTGGCACACTCAGCTTGTACCTCTCTATTAATACTGGTGTGAACCAGCGGGGCATGGTGGTGCATCCGTATAAGCCCAGCACTTGGGAGGCTGAGGCAGGGGGATTGCACAGAGTTTGAGGCAGCCTAGGCTACATAGTGAGTTCAAAGCCAGCCTGAACTACAAAATAAAAAAATAAAGAAATCATAGCTGAAAACTTCCCAAATTTGGAGAAAGGTTGTTTAGGTTCAAGATCAACAAATCCAAAACAACAAAAACTCACTAAGAAAAATTTTTGTTCACCTTAATTACATATGAAGCATTTATATAAAATTGTCAGGGACTGGAGATGTAGCTCAGTGGTAGAGTGTTTGGCCAGCTATGTAAGGCCCTAGGTTCGATCCCCAATGTGTGTGAGGGAGTATAAATGACAAAGGAAGTGTCAGTAAATTTCAGAGTTAAGATTAAACAAACTTCACTCACTCACTGATAGAAAAAAACAATAAAACAGTAGCTTTAAATAATAAACTTTTAGACTCAGGAGGCTGAGGCAGGAGTATAACCACAAGTTGGAGGCCACACTGGGCTATATAGTGAGTTTAAGGCCAGTCTGAACTACATAGTGAGACCCTGCCTCCAAAAAGAAATTTTTTAAAAGTGCACAGAAAACCTACAGACTGGGAGACCATATTTGCAAATCATACATCAGCTCAGGAATTTGTACCTAGAATAAAGAATTCTTAACGCAACAATAAAAAGATAAAACAGTATTTTTTAAATGGCAAAGGATCTGGATAGACAGGATCGGGTTTTTCTCTAAGAAATACACAAATGGTCAATACACACATGAAAAGATGCTCCACATTAGGGCCGGGGATTTAGCTCAGTGGCACAGCGCCTACCTGCCAAGTTTGAGGTCCTGAGTTTGATCCTTGGTACCAAAAAAAAAAAAAAAAAAAGATGCTCCACATTATTGGCCATTGGGAGAACATAAGTCAAAATGACAGTGACAGCCCTGAATGGTGGCCCTTGCCTGTAATCCCCAAAATTCTGGAAGGCAGAGGCAGGAGGATCACGTTTCAGCCCAGCCTGGGCAATTTAGCAACTTAGTAAAACCTTCTCTCAAAAAAATACAAAATAGGCGGGGGTATAACTCAGTGCAAAGGTCCTGGGTTTAATCCCCAGTACTGGGAAAAAAGAAAAAGATAATAAGATACCACTTTGTTCCCAGTAGGATGACTAAAATCGAAAAGTCATAATCAGCAACAACAGTTCTCATTTACTGTGGGTGAGAATGCAAAATGGTACAGCCTTCGCAGCTTCTTACAAAATTAAAAACTCTTCATATCCTATGGTCCAGCAGCCATGCGCCTTGGTATTTACTGAAATGAAAACTTATGTCTACATATAAACCTGCACATGACTGTTTATAATAGCTTCATTCATAATTGGTGAAGTATGGAAGCAACCAAGATGTCCTAAAATTGGAGAATGGATAAAGTGCAGTGTAGTCATACTGTGGACTGCTATTCAGTGATAGAAAGAAGGCAGCTACCAAGCCAGAAAAAGACAGAGGAAGTTGAAATGCTTACTGCTAAATAAAAGAAGCCAATCTGAAAAGGTCACATACCATTTGATTCCAACCGTGTGACCATCTGGAAAAGGCCCGACTATGGAAACAGTGAAAAATGGTTGACAGAGGAGGAAGAGCAAAGGGAATTGTTAGGACATCGAAACTATTCTGTATGATATTCTAGGAGTAGATACATGCCATTATACCTTTGTCGAAACCCCTAAAATATACAACACAGTAAGCCTTAATGTAAACAATGGGTTTTGGTTTAAAGGAAAAAGCCTGCCAAAGGGTAAACAGTGTAAAATAAAAAGAATGGCCTGGAGCAGGGATGCATGCCTATAATCCCAGCTACTCAGGAGGCTGAAGCAAGAGGATTGCTAGTTTGAGGCCAGCCTGGGCAATTCAGCAAGACTTTGTCTCCAAAATACAATATGAAATAAAAAATAAAATGAAAGGAGCCGGGGATTTAGCTCAGTGGTTTTGCCGCCTGCTGTGCAAGCACAAGGACCCGAGTTTGATCCCAGTACCAAAAACCATAAATAAATAAATAAAATAAAATGAAAGACAAATGTGGTGGTATTTAACGCCTGTAATCTGTAATCCTAGCAGTTAGGAGACTGAGGCAGGAGGATCACAAGTTCAGAGACATCCTGGGCTACATAGTGATTTCATAGCCAACCCGACTATATAGCAAGACCCTGTCCCAAACAAAGAAAATAAATAGATAAATATTGAAAAGGACTAGGAAGCCAGGTGTGGTGGCACACGCCTGTGATCTCTGCACTTGGGAGGCTGAGGCAGGAGGATCGAAGAGAGTTCACGGCCAGCCTGGGCTACATAGTGAGTTCAAGGCCAGCCTGAATTACAAATAGAGACCCTGTCTCAGAAAAAAAAAAAAAAGAAAAGAAAAAGTGGGACAAGGAAAAAGCATCTATGAAAAGCACAGAGCGAACATCATCCCGGATGCAGACATATCAAACGCTTTCTCCCACGGATCAGGAACAAGCTGGCAGACATCTGCTGTTGCCTCTTCTCTTCAGTGTTGTAGTAAAGGTTCTAGCCAGGGCAGTCGGGCACACACAAAAAAGTAAAAGGCACCTGGATTGAAAAGGAAGAAGCAAAACTACTTCTATGTGCAGATGATGTAATGTCAAATAGAGAAAATCCTAAGGAATCTGCCAAAAAAACACATTAAAACCAATGAACAAATTTAGCAGTGTGGCAGGACACAAAATCAATATAGGAAAATCAGGTGTATTTCTATATGCTAGCAATGAAGAAGTTAAAATCAAGTTTAAAAAATCCCATTTGTAATAGCAATAAAAGGAAAATACCTAGGATTAAATTTAAGAAAAGAAGTGCAAGATTTGTACACTGAAAACTACAAAACACTGCTGAAAGAAGTTAAGGAAAGCCATGCATGGTGGCCCACACTGGTAATCTCAGCACTGAGGGAAGCTGAGGGAGGAGGATCACAAGTTTGAGTCCCACCTGGGCAATTTAGAAAGACCCAGTCTCAAAAATAAAAATGGCTGGAGATGCAGCTCATTGTGAATGCCCTGGGTTTAACCCCCCAGTAGCAGAAAAAAAGAAAAGAAATTAAAGAAGATCTAAATACAAGGAAAGAAAGACATGTTTATGGATGGGACACATTATCAAGACAACAATACTCTCTAATTCATCCACAGATTTAATGCAATCCTTATGAAAATCCCAAATTGTTTTGTTTTACAGTCGA